AACAAGTTTCAGTGCATACTTCTTTGCTCTTCTACATTGCCCCATACTAACTTGGATACCAAACTTGGCCATTACCTTTAACCTAAGCTTCCTTACACTTATTTTCTGACTTTCTACAATCTCTTTGGTATAGTGACTCCCAATCCATGCATATGTCACCAATGATCCAAACTTGAAGTTCCTAGCACAATTATGATCAACTTTTAGTGACTTGATTTGGAAACTCTCTTCATCACTCATCCAAGAGGCCCATAATCTAAATGTGCAAGCACCTTTGCTACACCTCACGAAAAGTCTTGTCCGATCATTTTTTCAAAACACAATTGATATCCATTAGCTACAGCATAGTTACACAACATTGATTTTACTTGCCCTGGACCCTTAAATCTCATCCCTAGAATTGGTTTTTGTTTTTTCCAGTGTAATAGCTCATTAAATATGGAATGAGCTTGTATGTTAACTTCAAATTCTCTCCCATTGTCATCATCTACAATGTTGTTTTCATCCTCATCATCAACACATAGCTTACTAAAGAAAGGATCATTTGATGTCCTATTCATATGCACTACATCCTCATTAAATTCAAAAGCAACATTTCTAAGTTCATCTATGTTGTCTTCATTTTCACCATCAATACAAGACTCATGTTCATCATCATCATTATCTGCATCATCATGCCACTCATCAACACCAACCCCAATATGATCCACATAAACCGAAATTACACCATCTGTTCCATAAGCATCAAAAATAAAAGCAGAATATTCCACATCATCTGAAATGGGATTAAGGCCTTCCATGAAGGACATGTCTGGTTCACAATAGTAAAACTTTTTACACTCTTCATGCATGAAACGTTCGCAGAAGGTCACAAACTCATAATAAGTCATAGAAGAAAAGTCAACATCATTGAAGATGGTTTTAACACCACCAGTGTAAGAGAAAGGATTTCGATTAAATACCCTTTGTAGTTGAGTTCCACCATCGCAAATAGTCCATTAGGTTCCGATTGTGCCATTGTTGCGAGTTCTTTGTTTCTTTCAGCTCGATCACAGGAATGCTTCACAAACCCTAAATCAGTTTCTTTTACAGCTCAATAATGAAGAAGAAGACTAGTGAAGTTCGATAGCTGAAGACGAAAGGCTTTAAGCGTCGTATTTCATTAATTGATGTGGCATATCTCACGTGGCATCGGATTAGACAAAAAATATATATTAATTGACAAAATGGCATCGTATAACCGGGAAACCTTCTAAAAGTTGCTAAAATGGTGTAATTAAAAGGTCACTTACGAGTTTAATGGTCTAATGTACCAAAAAAAAACTTTAAGGACCAAATTAGCCAAACATTAAAAGTTCCATGTGCTACAGTGACATTATCCCGAGGATAAACAATAAACTATAAGCCTTTTTTTCCTATTCAAACACCCTCTTATTATTATTTCATTTACTCAATTTTATCATATAGACTCTTGTAAGGGCACACAGAGTCACTAGCGAGTTAGGTTGTGTGATGTGGTGATACTGATGATACTTCCGGCTTATGATACCTTGCACCAAAGGATGAACGGGTTTGAGCATTGATTTTGATTCTGCTAGTTGGTGAACCCATGAAGTTGCATGCATGTGAAAAGGAAATGTGATAATTCAATTGCAAAAGAATTGATTCCCTCCGTAATTCAGTGCATCTCAAACTTTTTTATTTTCTTTTTTGTTTTTTTTAAATCTAACTTTGTATAAATTTATGAGGTCAATACTCATACTTCACTCAATATAACTTTGTATAACTTTATTTTTCTCTGAAAAAATTTATATTTTGCTTAATTTCTTCGGTTACCTTCAATGGATTCAATCCAAGGCAAAGTTAAACAAGTCGGTTCTAACAAAAGACACAAATTCACACATGACGGTTCAAGTCAATATATTTCATTTTCTACTCCATGATTCCAAAACTCAAACTATCAGTAACCACCAAAACTACCAACAAAACATAAGAATATTACCTGGTGCAACAATCTTACGACACATTTAGGCTCTCAGAGAAAATCTGAGTTATAATTCATGTAATCAGTTTTCTCAAAGGGTTCTAGAAACCCAATTCAAATCTTCTCAATCCGAGAATTTCAGTTCTCAGAACATAGAATCTAACAATTCTAGCGACGACTCGGTTCCCGAAAGAAATGAAGAAGAGACCAACGAGAAGTTGCAACCTGATGCTTAGAAAAAAAAACGCAACTATGCAAACCGCCAGAAGTCAAAGAAATGGGTAACGCAAATAGTTGGCTTTAGCTATAGTATATGTCGATGTTTCTCAAGATAATGAACGTGGAAATCAACAAAGGTTCGATGCATTTTGGGATTAGGTTCTAGAACATTTTAATGTTCAAAATGGAAGGTTTGTATTGACCATGACACCAAGTAAACTCAAAATAGAAATACATACAAAAGAAATGTAACGCTTTCAACTGCATCTATAAGTGTAGGATGAATGGCTTGGTAAGCGGAAGTGGTTTAAAGACCATGCGAAATGGGTGTTGGTTCTAAAGTTGGTGAAGTCTCCCTGCCTCCTTCTTCAAAACAAACAAAACATCTTCATTTAATGCATACACAACATCTTACGATGCATAGTATCCTCCCAGATTCCTCCAACAACAACAATCGTTAATGTTGAAGATGCATTGCCTCAGAGAAAAATAAAAGGAAAGAAAGTGGCATCGACATCGTCAAAACAACTTGAAATGTTAGATCTCATCAACAAAATCGTTACATCAACACTGCAACCAGGATTGAGGTGGAACAGAGACAACGGTTGTGACATCCTCATTTTTACGGCCAGAAAATACATTTCTATTTATACTTATTTTAAAACATAGTTTATTTATAACTGTGGAATTTGTCCCATAAAATTATTTTGGAAGAATTTTTTTGTTGATTTATTTAAAAACTTGGGATATCATAACTAATACAAGAAACATAAGAATAAACATAGTCACTACTGGCCTTACAACATCTAACAGCCTATATTTCCTCGAATCTCTCATCTAATCCAAACATCATATACCTTCGAATCGCTACCTATGATACAAAGAAATTGAGTGGGTCGGGTTAGGAAACCTGGTGAGTACATAGGGTTTTTAACCCAAAATATTATAATTAATTTGTTATAATTATATACTTCACATCAGACAACTATCCTGATTACCCATTCTTGTTATTCTCACTTCCTGATCCTAACTGATAATCTCAAAGGATTTATCCTAAAGGATCTCTCAGTGAACAATGTTGCCTCGGGGATTCCTTAGCAATATGTGCTAATACAATGACCATGGGAGTGATCGGTGAAGAAAATACCCACATGAATAATACATTCATACTTACAGTTTGTAGCCTCGTCTGTATAAGGTTCCTTAACATGTATAGGTCAGGGACCTGTCCATGTATAGTTCAATAGCACCTATAGGTCGTAGACATGTCCTTGTACAGTTCATCAATGCCTACAGGTCGTAGACCTATCCCCAAAAAATAATTTATTAACATCTCCAGGTTGTAGACATGCCCATTGTCACACCCCCAAACCAAGGATGGTGGAAACGTCTGGGGTGGAGGACTTCATGTATAGTATCATAACCACAATTTAAATAGTAATTCAAGCAATTACAACAAACATATATATATATATATATATATATATATATATATATAATTGAAAGAGTTACATCATTGTATGAATTACATGTTTCCAAATCAATTACAATATGTTGACAAAATGTGAAATGTTTGACGCCTTAACGTCCCATCCTCAAAATGCACTTGGTTACCTGTTTATTGATTTCCTGAGAATACAAGTTGTTTGAAAAAGTGTCAACACAAAGGTTGGTGAGTTCATAAGCTTTTGTTTTAACTTGATAAAATCCTTTCTCTTGTAAATGTAATGTTTGTTCCAGAAAAATCCGATATTTTCCTTAAAATGTGTAATGTAGTCTTATATCCAGAGACCAAAATGTATAAGTAACCTTTCTTACATATAGTAAATGATGCAAGTTTAAATCGACATAAACTCTTTTAATTTCAATGAAATTCCTGAAAATTCCTATGTTTGTTAATACTTTTTGTGAGTTATTATAACCATGCTATGACCTAGTTGGCCTGAAACGACGTTCTTCAGGCGTCATAAATGTTATGACATTTTTCACCCCAGACCTGCCGGTCTAACTGTTGCATACATTTAAGGTGTGGGTTTGTTAAACCCAATATAGATCTATATACAACTATCACGCTCTCCCTCCAGGAGACTCTGGTTACAATACATGACTTATTGGTAAATGTGAAGCGAGTGTCTCACAAAGTCATTAACGAATTTACGTGTAATGTAATGAAAATCCCTTTTTGTATAAATGTACACTTTTTGTATGATCGTGTTATGTAATGTATCAAAACAAGGGTAGTCATGTTAATGTACGTAAACTATATTTAACATAGTTTATTCAAATGTTTGTATGTAATGGATGTACTCTGATTATAACAATTTGTTATCTTTTATATTCTATATATAAATCAAAATCCATTTATTAACTGATGCATGTCTATATACTAATACAAAATGTCATTTATTTACAATAACATATATTCACATAAATATATACACCTTGCTCAACATGTTACAAGGTGAAATGAATTTTTTAGCATTTTTCTGTTATTAACATTTTCTATTACTGTTTTTAGAAAATTTATAGAAGATTCATAACAGGTTCAAATCAGAATCCGTAAATTCTAGAAGTTTGGAAAATGAGTCTAGTTTGTTCATAAATTTTCCAATGATTTTTAGTGACCTCCAACTTAGGTGAAAATGTCCATAAACACGGACTGGTCCGGATTGGTTCTTGAAATGATAGGCAGTTTTGTAAAAATCACCATAACTTGTAGAAAAATTCTTTGGAGATGTGCAAGTAACCATTTTAAAGCTAAGAACTGGAACTACTTGCACCTAAAACAATTTTGAAAACTAAAATGTTTAAGGTGATCAAAACAGTCCGTAAATGGAGCCCAACTTTTCTTATGAAAGCTATTAGAAGCATTTAGTTTGTTCTTGGTGATTTAACTTGTATTCCCACCCTTAAAACTTAAGAAAACATGAATATGTAGGGCTATTAACTCACCTTAAATGGTTTCAGTAGATAAGTGTTAGAGAAGTGTTCAACTCAAGAACACTTGAAGATGCCTAGAAGATTTTCGAGAATCTAA